AAAAACTGAGCTACAAAGAGGCCCTCCTTGCTGTACGCTCCCAAGAAAAGAAAAAACCAGCAGTAAAGAAAAACCAAGAAAAGAAAACTCAACAGAAGCAGCCCACCACACAGAACCAAGAACACCACGTGGCCCGTGGTGCTGAAGCCCACGCGGCCAGTGGTGCTGAAGCCCACGCGGCCAGTGGTGCTGAAGCCCACGTGGTCAACCTCTCCCTCTCTGAATTCTTCCACACCTATGAGGACTTAAAATACGAGGAAGACGAACAAGAAGACCCAAACACAAACGAATGGACAATTCAAGAGAGCAAGAAGAGAAGGAGAGAGAGAAGAAAATCGACATCAAGCTAAGAAGACCAAGACATCCCCTCCACACAAGAAACCAAAACACAATCAAGCCGACCAAGCACTGAACATCCATTGCCCAACCCCACGCACCTGACGCCTGACCTGACGCTTGACCTGACGCTTGACCTGACGCTAGCCTGGCCTTGTCTTGTCGCCTCCCTGCCGCGTCCAGCCGGGTTGTTGCTGCTGCCCCCATCTTATAATCCCTCACGCAAGCGGTGTTTAGCCACTGCATCTGTTCTCTCCTCCTAAAATTCACTTCAATCCTCCCTTTATTCTTCTCCTGAACCTCCTTCCCCCCTGTCACTAGCATTTTTCGTTCGTTCGTTCGGTGACATCACAGACACTCTCTCTCCCTCACCATGAACGGATACGAGTTTGTTAACGTGGCGCGGATACGTCCGGACACGCCGACCTGCCCCAAGAAACTAAACCTCCTAGTTCTCCAGAAGTTTTTCGAAGCTAATGGGATTGTGGGGGTCACCAAGGTAGAACGCCTAAAGCTCCATGGTGACATCAAGATCACCTTCGCCGAGATGGGCATGCCCGCTCAACTCGCGGAGATCCCAGACATCAACGGCATTCCTTTTAAAATGTGCTTGCCTCTGGCGGGACAACTTGAAGCTGTAATCTCCCACGCCGAAATTGCCCATTACGGACAAAGGCAAGCAGGAGCTGAGTGAGTTCTCAATGAGCAGCAGTTCGTTGTGAAGAAGCTGGTCCGACACCACTCAAGTTCTCATCGGACAATTACCCACCCTACCCAAGGAAGCCCAACTGGCGTGGGTAATCTGCGCCAGTCAAGCCTCACTGCAGACTGAAACGTGCTATAAATGCCAGCACTATGGACACACTGTAAACAAGTGTGAGGCGCAGGAAGACACCTGCTCCATGTGTGGCAGCCCTGGACACCGCTACACGGCCTGCCCCAACACAGAGAAAAAATGCGTTGCCTGTGGTGGCCCACACTCCTCCGCCGACCGGACCTGCCCCAGATGGAAGGAGGAATGCAGGGTAGCCAAGGCTCGTCTTGAGAAAAAACTGAGCTACAAAGAGGCCCTCCTTGCTGTACGCTCCCAAGAAAAGAAAAAACCAGCAGTAAAGAAAAACCAAGAAAAGAAAACTCAACAGAAGCAGCCCACCACACAGAACCAAGAACACCACGTGGCCCGTGGTGCTGAAGCCCACGCGGCCGTGGTGCTGAAGCCCACGCGGCCAGTGGTGCTGAAGCCCACGTGGTCAACCTCTCCCTCTCTGAATTCTTCCACACCTATGAGGACTTAAAATACGAGGAAGACGAACAAGAAGACCCAAACACAAACGAATGGACAATTCAAGAGAGCAAGAAGAGAAGGAGAGAGAGAAGAAAATCGACATCAAGCTAAGAAGACCAAGACATCCCCTCCACACAAGAAACCAAAACACAATCAAGCCGACCAAGCACTGAACATCCATTGCCCAACCCAACACGCACCTGACGCTTGACCTGACGCTAGCCTGGCCTTGTCTTGTCGCCTCCCTGCCGCGTCCAGGCGGGTTGCTGTGGCTGCCTCCATCTTATAATCCCTCACGCAAGCGGTGTTTAGCCACTGCATCTGTTCTCTCCTCCTAAAATTCACTTCAATCCTCCCTTTATTCTTCTCCTGAACCTCCTTCTCCCCTGTCACTAGTATTTTCGATTCGATTCGCTGTACGCACACACACTCTCTCTCCCTCACCATGAACGGTTACGAGTTTGTTAACGTGGCGCGGATACGTCCGGACACGCCGACCTGCCCCAAGAAACTAAACCTCCTAGTTCTCCAGAAGTTTTTCGAAGCTAATGGGATCGTGGGGGTCACCAAGGTAGAACGTCTAAAGCTCCATGGTGACATCAAGATCACCTTCGTCGAGAAGGGCATGCCCGCACAGCTCGCGGAGATCCCAGACATCAACGGCATTCCTTTTAAAATGTTTGCCTACATGTGGGACAACTTGAAGCTGGGTGTAATCTCCCACGCCGAAATTGCCCACATGGACAAAGCAGAGCTGAGTGAGCTCCTCAAGGAGCAGCAGCTCCAAGTTGTGAAGAAGCTGTCCGACACCACTGCCCTCATCGGACACCACTCCACCCTACCCAAGGAAGCTCAACTGGCGTGGGTAACTGTGCCAGTCAAGCCCTACTGCAGACCGAAACGGTGTTACAAATGCCAGCACTATGGACACACTGTAAACAAGTGTGAGGCGCAGGAAGACACCTGCTCCATGTGTGGCAGCCCTGGACACCGCTACACGGCCTGCCCCAACACAGAGAAAAAATGCGTTGCCTGTGGTGGCCCACACTCCTCCGCCGACCGGACCTGCCCCAGATGGAAGGAGGAATGCAGGGTAGCCAAGGCTCGTCTTGAGAAAAAACTGAGCTACAAAGAGGCCCTCCTTGCTGTACGCTCCCAAGAAAAGAAAAAACCAGCAGTAAAGAAAAACCAAGAAAAGAAAACTCAACAGAAGCAGCCCACCACACAGAACCAAGAACACCACGTGGCCCGTGGTGCTGAAGCCCACGCGGCCAGTGGTGCTGAAGCCCACGTGGTCAACCTCTCCCTCTCTGAATTCTTCCACACCTATGAGGACTTAAAATACGAGGAGGAAGACGAACAAGAAGACCCAAACACAAACGAATGGACAATTCAAGAGAGCAAGAAGAGGAGGAGAGTGAGAAGAAAATCGACATCAAGCTAAGAAGACCAAGACATCCCCTCCACACAAGAAACCAAAACACATCAAGCCGACCAAGCACTGAACATCCATTGCCCAACCCAACACGCACCTGACGCCTGACCTGACGCTTGACCTGACGCTTGACCTGACGCTAGCCTGGCCTTGTCTTGTCGCCTCCCTGCCGCGTCCAGCCGGGTTGTTGCTGCTGCCCCCATCTTATAATCCCTCACGCAAGCGGTGTTTAGCCACTGCATCTGTTCTCTCCTCCTAAAATTCACTTCAATCCTCCCTTTATTCTTCTCCTGAACCTCCTTCCCCCCTGTCACTAGCATTTTTCGATTCGATTCGGCGAACACAGACACTCTCTCTCCCTCACCATGAACGGTTACGAGTTTGTTAACGTGGCGCGGATACGTCCGGACACGCCGACCTGCCCCAAGAAACTAAACCTCCTAGTTCTCCAGAAGTTTTTCGAAGCTAATGGGATCGTGGGGGTCACCAAGGTAGAACGTCTAAAGCTCCATGGTGACATCAAGATCACCTTCGCCGAGAAGGGCATGCCCGCTCAACTCGCGGAGATCCCAGACATCAACGGCATTCCTTTTAAAATGTTTGCCTACATGTGGGACAACTTGAAGCTGGGTGTAATCTCCCACGCCGAAATTGCCCACATGGACAAAGCAGAGCTGAGTGAGCTCCTCAAGGAGCAGCAGCTCCAAGTTGTGAAGAAGCTGTCCGACACCACTGCCCTCATCGGACACCACTCCACCCTACCCAAGGAAGCTCAACTGGCGTGGGTAACTATGCCAGTCAAGCCCTACTGCAGACCGAAACGGTGTTACAAATGCCAGCACTATGGACACACTGTAAACAAGTGTGAGGCGCAGGAAGACACCTGCTCCATGTGTGGCAGCCCTGGACACCGCTACACGGCCTGCCCCAACACAGAGAAAAAATGCGTTGCCTGTGGTGGCCCACACTCCTCCGCCGACCGGACCTGCCCCAGATGGAAGGAGGAATGCAGGGTAGCCAAGGCTCGTCTTGAGAAAAAACTGAGCTACAAAGAGGCCCTCCTTGCTGTACGCTCCCAAGAAAAGAAAAAACCAGCAGTAAAGAAAAACCAAGAAAAGAAAACTCAACAGAAGCAGCCCACCACACAGAACCAAGAACACCACGTGGCCCGTGATGCTGAAGCCCACGAGGCCTGTGGTGCTGAAGCCCACGTGGTCAACCTCTCCCTCTCTGAATTCTTCCACACCTATGAGGACTTAAAACACGAGGAAGACGAACAAGAAGAAGACCCAAACACAAACGAATGGACAATTCAAGAGAGCAAGAAGAGGAGGAGAGTGAGAAGAAAATCTACATCAAGCTAAGAAGACCAAGACATCCCCTCCACACAAGAAACCAAAACACAATCAAGCCGACCAAGCACTGAACATCCATTGCCCAACCCAACACGCACCTGACGCTTGACCTGACGCTTGACCTGACGCTAGCCTGGCCTTGTCTTGTCGCCTCCCTGCCGCGTCCAGCCGGGTTGTTGCTGCTGCCCCCATCTTATAATCCCTCACGCAAGCGGTGTTTAGCCACTGCATCTGTTCTCTCCTCCTAAAATTCACTTCAATCCTCCCTTTATTCTTCTCCTGAACCTCCTTCCCCCCTGTCACTAGCATTTTTCGATTCGGCTGCTCTCTCCTTCTAAAATTCACTTCCATCCTATCTTTATTCTTCCTCTGAACCTCCTTCCCCCCTGTCACTAGCATTTTCTAGTCTCTAGTCTAGGCTGCACGCTGATTGGCTGGTCGGAGTGCGGCCGGAGCTCAGTTGGAAGTTGTAGGGGAGAGTAGCCACTACAAGTGATTCGACATAATGAAGTTAACCGAACCACTTTTCCGGTTGTGGCATAATGGGTAACACCAAGGCCCCCTGATAAGAGCCCTCAATTTCACTGTCCTCAACCTCAGTACACAACATCAGGCGTTGCAGTAAACACGGCCCGGTCTCTCTATCATTGCCAGCGTTCCTATATAATTCACTGAGGATTTAGAGTCACCCGCCTCTTACAATCATCCACACTGAGCTTCAGTCATTCTTGGAGGTACAGTACAGTGTATAATTACATACAACTACAACAGGTGCTGATCAAATGAAAGTTATATCATGTCCTGTTCTGTGGTCGGCGGTCAGGTCTCTCATCTTTATATATCTGCTTCATGACTCTTGTACAAGTCATTAAACAGTATATATATATGGAAACCAGCACCAAAAACAAAGTGACGGACTCATCAAGTGTGTGGTAAAATGGATCAGTTTGCGGTGAGCTGTGGAATTGTGCGCTAAATACTGGTCCTGTGAGCGGTAGCGTAAAAAGGACTACAGAGTAGAGGCCACTAAGGGTGTTTATCAGACCCCAGTGACCGTGATTATTATAGCACTAAATGTAACAGAGTATTTCCAGTATATTGTTTGTTTAAGTCGGTACATAGAAGTTTGATCAGGTGCTAAATGCCAAGTGTGGATACAGCCTCGGTATATTAGCTATCTTGCCATCAAATATAAAGTTCGGACATTGCCTACACCAGTGGTCCTCAGCCTGTAGTTCGTCACATTATGGAGCCCTCAAGGGTTTATTAGAAATTTGTGAAATATTTGAGAATTTTTTGTCAGAGTGAAATAAATGAAAATGTGATAAATTCATGCGAAATTATAGAGGGGGGGTGGCGGAAGAGATGAACGTTTGTCCCGAGTCTTTTGTGTATATGACGTATTTCTCACAGACCGGGCCCAGAGATAGAGGGAGTCAGCCTTCTCACTAAAGGGAAACACTTTATATATATATATATATATATATATATATATATATATATATATATATATATATATATATATATATATATATATATATATAATTTTGTTCACATATGCCTGAGGGGCATACTGCCAGAGGTACTTATATTCTAAGCTTAGTCTAGCGGTTACATCTTGTAATCTAGTCATCTTGTTACTTGCCCCATATACATGTTTCACTTGATACATCTCATCATGGTAAACAATGGATTGACTAGTACCTGTTTGTACTTGTCTACTGGCTTCAAATTCATCAAGTTTTTTTTCTCGATTACAGTTTGTAATGTTCTGTTTGACACAACTAGATGGTATAAACATTTGTTATTGTTGGCATCAACTTTATCATGTTGACTAATGCCTGAGAGAGGTAGAGGTGCTGTGGCCAGTGGCGGCGCGCTGGGGTCAGTCAATGTGTCAACTCTGGCAATCTGTGTGTGTGTGACCCCCACAGGTGATGGCTGGCCGCTTCCTCAGGTGTGTGCACGGGAAGGAGTTGCTGGCGCTGAAGGAGAGACTAGCAGCCCATCTGCCCAACTCTGCCATTGTGAGTTATCGCCTCTTACCATGTTCTAAAATTACCACAAACATTACACAGCCTATGATGCTAAACCATTGATAAAAATGTGATGGCACGAACCAACCAAATCTAACTTTACCGTCTAGACCAGACCTGACCTGACCTAACCTGACCTAACCTAAACTGATACAAAACACACTAAACCCGAGGTGCCAAACTGACAAAGCCCGGGGACAACATTTATACTTTGTGAAAGTCAGAAATTAATTATTTATAAAATAGACATTCGGTCAAGAGAACAAACGATGGACCAGTAGTTGGTCAAATGTACTGAAACTTTAATAGATCTTCTGTGGGGAAAAATGGAGAAGATTTCAATCTAGAAAACGAGAGAAGGTGTTGAAGGTGAAGACTCTGTCATAAGTAGCGTTTGGGGGAGCACCATCACTCCTACAGTAGGGTGTGTCATAGGAGGGAAGATCAGCTAAAACTAATGGCCCATCACTTTTTTGGTAGATTTTAGTGTATATAAACAGAAAATAATTTCAGTTTCAATATTTTGCAACCTTTTGCTAGGTAAATTTTAGCGTGAAATTTATCGAAAATCTAATGTACAGCTGCATTAGTGCATTACAATTAAATAGTGAACATTACTTTCTGACTTCATTCTTTAACAACCCAACTAACAATATTTTTTTCTGTTTCAGATTCTGATGCATTTATAAGTTGATAATATTTGCGATGGCTGTTTGTGTCAGGACGAGGAACCAAAAATCCAGCCATCTCAGTCACTATCTTGGGTCTGGGAGAGAGCTCCTGAAGTCGGAGTTGCCTACATTGAGAGATGCTTTGAGATAAGGTGTTTTAATTAGGCAAATCAGTGAAAAGAACCAAAGAACTTACACAAACAAAGACATTGCCAGTGATATGACCAAAGCTGTCTTGGCACAGTACACTCTGGCTAACGCTCAGTTCAAGCCTCCAGTCATAACAGTCAGAAGAAGATTAGTGAGAGACTGCCAGCCAGTTAGAAAAAGGCAAGATATCTTGGAGAGGAAAACTTGCAGTTAAGGCGATTGTTTCTTGCTGCCAACCGGGGACCAGTTATTTGACATAATTACTTGCAAGTGCCCAATTGTTCTCTGTCCTGAGTTTGGATGCGATCGTGACTGTAAATCCGAGGCCCACATCTCCTGTATTTGCAAGAGTGAACTGAAGATTCCTGTGATCGAACTGGCATTTGTCAAAGCACAGAGAGAGAAGACTGGCAGTATAGGGGCTCTCATGATTTCTAGCCAAGATATTCTGGAGTCCAAGAGACAGGAGGCTGCCTCAGAGAGACAGAAGAGGAGAAGAGTTGCCGAGGAAAAAGACTTGAGAAGGCCCAGGGTGAGGTAAAAAAGGCCGATGATTGGAGTCAAGCTGATTCAGAGTTTAATGACTTCCCCATGGCTGATCGAGTGCTGACCAGGAGAATGGTGACTTTGTCCCTAACCCAGAAAATAATGATCCCAAACCTTCCAGGCATAAGATTCGAAATAGGAAAGATATCCCGAGCATAGCTCTGGCCAGCATGCGACACCACACTGGTCTCAGAGAAACTGCAGAGATAGCAACAGCTGCCTGGATTGACGGTGGTTTGATAACACCTGATGATGTTCACCTGGTGATAGATCATAACAAAGTAAGGAGAGCTCAGGAGAAACTTGTCAGTAACCTAGAAGAGGAGTTTGATAAGGGATAAGAGAAAATGGAATCAATTGTTTGTTCTTTGATGGGAGAAGGGATGACACTAAAGTGTTCATGAAAGTTGGAGATTCTGACAAGTTGTTCCTGCCATGGTGAAGGAGGAACACTACTCCTGCTGCAGTGAACCAGGAGGGAAGTATTTGTGGCATTTCACTCCAGAGAAAGATGACATCAGGAAACCAGCTGAGATAGTGGCAGATAACATTGTGAACTGGCTCAGAGAGAGGAACGTAGACCAGACCCTGCAGGCCATTGGAGGGGACAGCACCAACACGAACACAGGGTGGCAAGGGGGGTCATACAGTGGATAGAGCGAAGATTGGGAGGAAGCTGGTCTGGATTGTTTGTGACCTCCACACCAACGAGTTGCCACTCAGACATCTGATCCAGGAGCTGGATGGCAAGACTCTTTCAAACAACAGATGGTCTGGTCCTCTTGGCAAGATGCCGGACTCTGCCACTGAGTTGGAAATAAATCCGAGCTTTGAAAAAATCACAGTTGGCCCTCCACTCGTTGAGCTTGCACATACTGTCATTGACGACCTGAGTACTGACCAGTACTATGGTTACATGATTTGCAGTGCCATCAAAATCAAATATGCCCGATAGACTTGCTTACCCGCAGATAGGTCCAGTCTCACATTTCCAGGTGGCTCACAACGGCCTCAGGTTCTGCAGAATTCGGGTCGCTCATCATAAACTGAAAGGAACCAGCTTCACAAACCTGGAGACTTATTGTCCACCCATTGTGAGTGTCTACTTGCCAAATTGGCTCTAACACTAAGGTCAAGTCATCGTTCTCTGAAGGTCCGAGGCATGTTCCCTCTTCCAGCTTGAGCTCCTATAGCCAAGGAAGCGCCGGTTCTGGGATTGTGGAGCAGCACTGTGAGGAGATTCTCTCCTGGTATGCTCATCCTGGGAGTGCAGTTCTCAGACAATGCCGCAGTGGGAGGAGAGAAGAGTGGCAGTCAAAAAGATCTGGATATGAGACTTATGAGAGGATCTGCATGACGAATCAGTTGGTGACGATTCCTTCAGGGTCAGAAGACTCCTGAAGTCAATCTGAAAGCAAGACCCCTACTGATCTCTAGATCTCGATAACATCCAGGCTGGCAGTGAGCCCCCTCTACCTGCAGCCTCACCAATGTTCAAGTCAGAGCTCTGGACAAATCCCATGCATGTCCCTTCCTGCCTGGCCCTCGCGTGACACCCAGAGTATAGAGCTGCTGTGTACAGCAAGGAGCGAGGCCAGCAGTCACGTGTACAGCCAGGAGAGGAGGGAAGGCTACATCCGGAGCTCAGGTGGTCAGGCAGGGGAGGTGATGAGAAACAGAAGCAAGAAAGACATGTTCTCTATGGTGTGCAGCAACACCGGGTCGTGGTAGTAAAACCGGTTTTTGTATTTGATGATTTTGTTTTCTAAAGGAATATTAAATTTGGCTAAATGTGCCAAGATCATTCGTTTCACTATTCTGGATCATTTTCATCCTAATAAATTAACCTGATACATTTACTTTACTTTAAATAAGCTATTTAGTGGTGTTGGTAAAAGGGTGGGAATACTGAATTTTCATAAGATTTCAAGTTAAAATTTACCTAGCAAAAAATGAAAACTTTTCAAATCTGAAGATATCACATGATTCTGCACATAGAACTACATCATGGGCCGATTTTTCAAACTCAAAAAAAAAAAATTCGCCTCCGTATGACACACCCTACTCCTACACTATACCACTCATTGTGGCTGCGACTCTCACCACACCATTCACCTTAATGTCTGGGGAAAACATCAGAGGAGACCAAGTCCCGGTAAATACACAACTACTGATTGTGGAAGTGTCTTGTGTTGTGATGACCAAGACAACAATTAAAAGTAGGTGCCTAGACACACTTTTATGTCGATTTTATGTTTTATTCTTCAACCCCGGCAGCTGCACGGGACGGTCGAGACAGGAATACGTTATGGACTAATGGAGAATTTAGGAATAAAGTTGTTTGTCCCAAAACACAGTGGCAGTCTGGTGGTGGCTACCCCAGCCTTCACTACGGTAAGTCTGGTGTGGATATGTTGCCCTCTTATTGTGTATCCATCTGCATGAATATCTGTCTTGATTATGTAAATATATTTCAATGCAAGAGAATGATTCTTGGAAATGCTTTCATACTGAACAGTCCATAACCTCTGTAATTTACTGTACCTCTCCCCTCCACTTATCTTGTATGTATAATAATATTTTAGTCTGTACTGTACTTAAGTCGTGTGTAGCCGCTCTTCTTGTATTTCCATACCAGTTTGCATAATTTGTACATGAAACTTTGTTCCATAGGATCATGGGGGTATGTGTTTCTCATACATTTGGTATTGTGGTGTCCAGAAAAAGGTGCAGAGTTTGTCAGTGTTCTGGAACCCGGAGGAGGAAGACGAGGAGGAGGTGGCGCAGATGATCGGATCGTTGCCTGGCATCGACTGGAGGAAACCTGTGTTCTTCAGTACCAGTTCCAAGACCATCTCCAGCAAGGTAAGTCACCTGTAGCCTTCACTACTCCACAGTCACTCTGCTGTACAGCATGGTAAAAAGCCCGTTCTGTTAGCTGTCTCTACCAAGCCCATTCATACACACACACACACACACACTATACTGTATATACTTTACAGGTGACGAGTATAGGGAATAACCAGCTGGTCGGCGACGGAAACATAGAGGCTCATACGGTCGAAGGTTCATCTATGTACGAAATCCCTCCACAAAAGTCGCATATCCAGTAAGTGACTTAATCCTTGTTAAAAAAAATTATATACTGCATATATATATATATATATATATATATTGATAAAATCACACAGGAAAAGGGAAACAATGGAGCACCTTAGCTTTCGTCTTTATTCAAGACATCTTCAGAGGCAACTTAATTACAAGACCCGAGAGAGGCTTAAGTACACAGGGTGACCTTAATAAACATGAGGTCAGGTCATAAACATGACATCCACTAATCCGCACACTAACACAACCACACACACAATGGAACTTAAGAGAAAGGGCGACGTAACTAGTCATGTTAAGTCAGGTAAAAAATATGGGACCCACTAATCATCTATCCGACATCTAACTCGAATGCTATCAAAGCTTTTTTAACCTTGGGCCACTGATAAATAAATTTGTGTAACATATTATTAGTTTTGTACTGACCATCACTGAGGTTTATATAATTCAATTCTCTCATCAAACTTGCTTCAACCAGAAGTCTTTCTGTGACACATGGTGATTTATATACTTCTAGGCTGTTTCCCAATCAATGGGATGATAATTGTTCCTAACATGAACGAACAGTGCACTGCTTTCAGATGCTGTTCTAAAATTGCACTTGTGCTGTTTAATTCTGAGTTGCAATGGTTTCCCAGTCTGTCCTACACAATTTCCATTACAATTGCTACATGGAATGCAGTAAACACTTCCATTTACATTCAAGGTTGGGCTATTCTTGATTAATATATTGGTAATAGTTGAATCATACTTAAAAACAACATTAATATTTAATAATTTAGGGACTGAACTCATGGGACAAATTCATTGCTATAAGGAAGAGTCAAAATATTCTTAAATGTAGGAATTTGCCTGGTTTGAGTAGAATGAAAGGATTGTTTAGCCCTTTTAAAACAATGATCAACAAACAAGGAAGGGTACCCAAGTTTTTGTGCAATGGAACGAATGTGTTTTCAGTTCTTCATCAATAAATACGCAAACATCTCAAAAACATAGCAGAAAAATTTGACATTTTGGTAGATTCATGGTGACTCTATTAAAAAGGTATGAAACTGTACACCTGTGGAGGCTTTCTGTACACCTTAAATTTATAGTTATGACCATTTCTAATGGTAAGCATATCAAGAAATGGAAGGGATCCATTTATTTCTATTTCATTTTTGAAGGTAATACTAGGGACAAGATCATTAAACTTGTCTAAAAATTCCAGTGGGTCACTGTTTCTAGGCCAAAGATAAAGACATAAGCTTAGTGGATGTCATGTTTATGACATGACCTCATGTTTAGTAAGGTCACCCTGTGTGCTTATATTTATATATATATATATATATATATATATATATATATATATATATATATATATATATATATATATATATATATATATATATATATATATATATATATATATATATACACTAGCTGAATCGCCGCCCTCCGGGCGGCTCATCCGCTAAGCAACGGTAGGACGCCACCCTCCGGGAGGCTCCACATTGTCTCACTGTTCAGTCCACAAAACTTCTTCTTCCATCAATAGTTCATTAACGGTGTATGTAAGTTCCACCATGTTTTTCACTGCAATGTTACAGCAAAGTATATTTTTTTAGTATTAAGCTGTTATTATTTTATTGTCTAATCATCACTACACATAACGCCACCCATCATCACTACATATAATATCATCCATCATCACTACATATAACACCATCCATCATCACTACATATAACAATATCCATCATCACTTCATAGACAACAAACTAAATTGGAAACCACACGTCAGTGAAGTTGTCAAATCCTCCAGTTTCCGTCTCCACCTCCTCCGCCGACTCAAGTCCCTCGGAGTTCCTGCACCCGAGCTCCACAGTGTTTACTCAACATTCATACTTCCCAAGCTCACCTATGCCTCCCCCACCTGGTCTTCCCCCCTAAATGCCACACAACGTAAACACCTAGAAAAAGTGCAAAAGAGGGCATGCAAGATCATTCTCTCCCCTTCCTACTCCACATATCAAGAAGCGCTGACCCTTTCGACTCTCACTGACCATCACCACGACCTCATCTGCAAATTTGGTAAGAAGCTTCTACACCATCCTCGACACCGGCTCCTACTACCACCTGAGATCCCTAACCAGAGAATTGCTGTTCGACACCACAACCGCATCCAGCCCATACGTGCACGAACTGATCGCTATAAGAACAGCCCAGTCCCAACCATTGTAAAAATTATCAATAACTTGTAATAAACCAGTGTATTCACTCCCAGTAAATACTACTTCTTGCACTGTCACTATGTTGAAATGCCCTGTAGTTTGAGCTTTTCCCCATCTAGTTATTATATATCTTATTTATATCACTTATGTTATTTGTATATTATTTGTAATTCGAAACCCATTCCCCAGATATGTAACTGTATATTTTCAGCCTTCTGGCTGCCAAGCTCTTTCAATAAACCGTTAATTATTATTATTATTATTATTATTATTATTATTATTATTATTATTATTATTATTATTATTATTATTATTATTATTATTATTATTATTATTATTATTATTATGATAACATCATCCATCATCACTACAGATCGGTAAAGTAGTTTCCGAGATTCTCGTGCGGACACACAAACAAATAAATAAACAGACAGACAAACTTCTATGTTTTATATATATATATATATATATATATATATATATATATATATATATATATATATATATATATATATATATATATATATACTTCATTTTTAGTCCATATAACACGCGGGACTTGAACATATAATCATATATATATATATATATATATATATATATATATATATATATATATATATATATATATATATATATATATATATATATTTGTGGTGTACAGAAAGCTCACACAGGTAGAGGTCTTCAAAGCTCAAAGTTGACCTTTCAGACTCATCAGAGCAATAGTCCTGGTATGCCTCCTTCATCAGTTTGTACAAGCTGCATGCTGTGACTTGATGTGCTAGTCTTGTCTTAGTTACACTTGATACAGACAGAAAGGACTCTGTTGTACCAGATGAAGCCACTCCTGCTTCAACAAGGGAACCGGTCCAACCACTGTCTTGTAGTAGCTCTTGTAACCGTCATCTCCTTTTTTGGCAGGATTTGCATGTGTCCATAACTATTTTTGATCTTCAGGGCCGAGGGTTTATCCTTTTACCACCCCTATGAGCACTTTCTTGTATGGGATACAACTAGGTTCATGCCTTTTGCCCTACACCGAGTCCGATCGGTCATCCAGTGTCATTTGCCAGAGTACAAAAGGAATGGGCAAGAGCTTAGTATGCCCTTAGCAAAGTTGTTTAACATGTCCTTAAAAACAGGTGTAGTACCAGAATCCTGGAGGATAGCGAATGTAATACCGATTTTCAAGAAGAGGGATAGATCACTATCCTCTAACTACCGTCCAATCAGTCTAACATCAATTGTAGGCAAATTACTGGAAGCAATCATTTCAAACTCTATTAGTAATCACCTGGAGAAGCACAAATTGATCAATGATTCCCAACATGGCTTCACAAGTGGGCGTTCATGTCCGACTAATATATTAACATTCTTCTCATAAGTTTTCGAATCGGTGGACGAGGGGCACAATTATGATGTGGTATATCTCGACTTTAGCAAAGCCTCTGGACAGAGTCCCCCACGAAAGACTAATTAGAAAGGTAGAAGCACATGGCATCAAAGGTAATATCCTTAAATGGATTAGGGCGTGGTTACAGGACAGGAAACAGAGAGTGAGCATTAATGGCACTAAGTTCCATTGGAGCAACGCCACAAGTGGAGTTCCCCAAGGCTCAGTACTTGGACCATTATTATTCATTTTATACATAAATGACATAGATATCGGCATAGACAGCAACATAAGCAAATTTGCTGATGACACTAAAATAGGACGTGTTATTAAATCTGACGAGGACTCCACAAAACTACAGGAAGATCTAAACATATTTTTCGAATGGTCTGAAAAATGGCAGATGAAATTCAACGTGGACAAATGTAAAGTACTCAGTATAGGAGATGTAAACAGGGAAACCAGATACCAGATGAACAACGATGCCATAGAGAAGTCCGACTGCAAGAGAGATTTAGGAGTAATGATAAGTAGGAACCTTAAGCCAAGTAAACAATGTGTTTTTGCTCGTAACAAGGCTAATAAAGTACTTGGGTTCATACAAAGGAGTGTTAGTTACAAGACTAGCGAGGTCATCCTAAAACTGTACCTTGCTCTTGTGAGACCACACCTGGATTACGCAGTTCAGTTCTGGTCACCGTATTACAGAATGGATATAGAATCCTTGGAAAGAATTCAGAGGAGGATGACAAGACTAATCCCGGGCATTAGGAACCTTGAGTATAGAGACAGGTCAAAGCATCTTAATTTACACTCCCTCGAGAGACGTAGAGCGAGGGGCGACCTGATAGAGTTGTATAAGTGGAAGGCAGGACTAAACAAAAGGGACATTACAAAGGTACTCAAACTATCCAAACAGGAGCGAACTTATAACAATGGTTTTAAATTAGACAAATTTAGATTTAGGCGTGAAATAGGTAAACACTGGTTTGGAAACAGAGTCGTGGATGAATGGAACAAGTTACCAACTATCATCATTAACTCGAATACGCTGAATAGCTTCAAACATAGGTTGGATGCTTATATGAGCAGTAGGGGTTGTGTGTAAACGGGACTGCCCAGTATGGGCCAATAGGCCCGCTGCAGGTTCCTCCATTCTTATGATCTCATTAGTCCCATGAGATCTGTACACCATCAGGATAGCTAAAACCCCGTAATCCTTGGCTCGGCTCTCCCGCTCTGGCACATCCTGTCAATTCAAGTGCGGCTGCTTAACTGATTTGGGGTTGGTTAAGCAGCATTTGGGACACTATGCTGTTGCAGTATGACATGCTTTTTCTTAGCTGACACTGAACCCCATGCTGGGTTGTATAGCAGTAATGTCACCATTGTGCCCTG